CCCACACAAGTGGTTGCAATCGTGGGTGCAGATAACTCTTATTATTATTTTTTTAATCTTATCACTTGGCATGTTACTGATGTAGAAAAGAATAAAATATAATATTTATAATTTAATTAATATATTTTTAATGTAAAAACATCAGAAGAGTAAGTAAACTTATAAGAGAAACTACAAGGTAGTTGCTTGTGTTATTTTTTGTTTGGTTTGAGAATAATATATAAAGTGTAAGCTATTTTTTTTTCCTCCTCCTCACTTAGGAGATTTACTTTTCGCTCCTATCTCCTCTTCCATCAGCCTCACTTAGGAGATACCCTCTCCTTATCTCCACTTTGCCTCCTTCTCTCACCCCTACCCAGTGGTAGCTTCATCTCCAAAGGCAGTCGAGCATTCTCTTTCTCCTAGACTGTTGGTTTTCAAATCTATAACCCCTCGCATCTTGGGTTGGCCTTCTTCACCTTCTTCACCAAGCTCATGGTGTTTCCTCGTGGAGACTAGATCCATTCTTGAAGACAAAACTTTAGAAAATATAAAATAGTTCTAATTTTTTTGTTACCTTAGACTTTGAGGAGCTTAACATGGCTAGGTCCATAGTGGTAAGCTAGCTTTATAGTGCTTGGGCTCTGTGCACCTTAATGGCCATGCCTAAATATCATCATGTATGTTTTGTATGTATTGTGTTAAGTCTATGAAGTTGTCGAATGTACATATGTATACAGACTGTAAATTGGTCTATGCTCAATTTGAGAAGATACATGATGCATGGTTTAAACAATTGCATTTAGATCTGATGCTTTAAGCTAAAATTTGTTGGGAAGCCCTCTCAAGTTGCAGTTAGGGAACATTGTAAAATAACTCTTTCCGTCTCTCGGATGTCTGTCCCTAGGAACATTCAGTACCATTGATAAATCCATTACATAATACTGATTCGGATTTCCCGTCTAGCTAAGAGATTACATAGTTTTCTTAATCATGAAGAGACCATCAAGTTCAAAATTATTTTAGTAAAATATGGTAACATCGATTGACCTTTTGCACATTAGCTTCCATAAACATTGTTGGAGCTGAAGACTCTTGTTTATATCTATGGAAAATTTGCCTTCGAGCTTCTCTTATCTTACGGGGGGATTTGTGCATCCATTAATGTATACATCCCTATTATGAATGCTAAATTTCCTTATGACTCCTATAAGGTAGCTTATTTTATCCACTCACCTCTGATTTGGTAATTCTGACTTTCAAGAATATTATCTTTATTAAATTATCTCACTTTTTTGATAAAAATAAATGAATTTGAAAGGCTAATCCTAAAGATGATCATAAAATAAGTATGTGTAATCATTTTAATCCACTAACTTTAGAGAAGAAGATAGATAGTTTCTTATTTCTTTTTTGAAATATTTCTATCAAACAAGTTATTGTTGGAAACTATTAATTGCTAGACTTCCTAACCCATCTTTGTGGCATCTATGTGCTTGTCATGTGATCTTTCTTGCAGATCATATTTCTCATACTTTCTTTTAACTTGCATTTAGATCTTGCATAACATACTTTTGCTTTATCATCTTGGTCACGAAAACACTATTGTTGGACCAATAAATGAGAAAATAATTTTAATAAATATATATGTCACATCTCAGATTTATAAAAAGCATTATAAAATTTGTATTTTATTATCCTTAATTTACATAATAAATTTTCTTTTTTTTTTCCTTCATAAATTTAAATCATTGTCTTTACAATAATAAATATTTTATTAATTAGAAAAAGGATGACCTTCTTGGTAGGTTTATAAGTCTCATCCACTTAAATTTCAAATCTATTATAAAGTAGTAGATTACTCTGAAAATAAATATAAGATAAAAACGATAGGAACATCAAAAAATCATAAAAAAATTTATAATACTTGTGTAATATAAATAAATATTAATAATTTAATAAAAATAATAATATATCGATTAATCAAAAAACTTATGCATTAGAAAAAAAGATAATAATTTTTTACATAATAAATAAAATCATGCATCTGCTATATGTTACACATACATAATAACTAGATAATAAAGACATATATCACATCAGATGGGATACTCTCCCAACAACGAATGAAGAGACATATTTCATGGGATGGATTCCTCCCAATAGCGGATGGAGATAATCCATATCGCACTCCCAATAGCGAATGAAGTGGTATCCTTTACCCGCCCAAGTGGGGACATATTCCTCCCAATAACGGATGGAGGAACCGTCTAATCATCACGTCTAATGGTCCGCTAATCCCCCAAGGGAATCACCATACCTGCCGTCGGCAATGATACATAAACATTCATGATCATTCATTTACACTCATCCATTCACTCATGCATGCATCAAGAAATCAATATAATTAAATATTTTGAGAGACTATACTTGACGTAAATCTGCTAGACTATATTTATTGGTGGCACCACACTACTAGCCTAGTTATATCTATTACATGATAACAATCATGTCAATATCATAAACTTAAGAAAAGTAGAAAACTAATAATTATTTTCAAATGATATCTTCAGATAAAACCTTTAAGTTCATCAAATCATAAATGCATGAAACATTAATTTCTCAATAGTCTTCAATCAATTAAAACCCAAATTGGAATAGCTCAATTGACTTAAATCAAGCTTAATTCGATTATAACCTAATCGAACCAACCTCAAATTCTTATAGAACCGGTTTGGAATCACCCTAAACTGGTCTAATTTAGATTTGATTGTTCTCGATTAGGTCGGTTTGAATTAGTCAAGTTAGTCTAAAATCATCCTAAATTGGTTTTACGGATCAAACTTATTTGATTTAGTCAATTAACGAGCTTAAACCAATAAAGGGAAAGGAATTTGAACTATGTCATATAATGCTAGTCCAAATCGAACCAACCCACCCGAGTCATGGATGGGTTACATATGTTGCACATGCTTGTTCCAAGTAATAGGTTGAGTTGAGGTACAACAAGCCAGATAAAGGAGCGATGATGTGTCTAATGCCAATCGTACAGTTGGGTAGGCTTAATTTCATGGACTAGGCTAAGCCTCACTTATAAGTTTGGCTGAGCCTTACTACTAAATTAGGTCATGCTTGACTCGCGAGTTGATCGTACCTAGACACATGAGTTGGGGTTGTACCTAACCACATGGATTGGGTCGTACCTAGTCGTATGAGCTGGTCCATGCCTGGCCACATGAGTTGGGTTATACATGGCCACATGGACTAGATCGTACTTAACGATATGAGTTGGGTTATACTTGGCCACATGGGTTAGGTCGTACATTGTCACATGAGTTGACTCTTACTTGGCTACATAGGTTGGGTCATGTCAAGTCACATGGGTTAGGTTGTGCTTAGCCACATGGGCTAGGTCATATATGAACACAAGTCAAATTAGATTTCAATATACTCAAGTTAGACCCCAATTAGACTTCTCTTATCAAATTAGATTTCAATATATAAAATTATTAAAGAATAATTCAAATTCATTAATTAAAAATTTTAATTCATGATCTTAAATTTAAAACTAATTATATTATAAATTCATACATAATTCTTGAAACATAGATATATCTAATTAAATAAATTAAAATTATTATGCTAATCCAAAAATAAGAATTTTAATAATTAAATTAATATTAAAATTCACTTAAACTTAATAGATCAATATAAATCAAATGATCATTCTAACATCACAAATCAATTATCATTATTTACTAATCATGAAAATTTAAAATTAAAACATCATTATGCATCATAAAATTATAACAATCTTAACATAAATCAAAATATAAATCAAAGTTAAATAAAAAAGAAAAGATCCTCCCTCGATTATCATTTTCCCGATATCATCTCATCGGAAAGTTCTCTCTAGGATGAGGTCTCTCTGAAATATAAGTAATAATTTAATTTATTTCTTAAATTATTTTTATTTTACTTTCGCACACAAAGAAAAAAAAAATTATTTCTTATAGTTCACACACAAAATGGAATGTAAACTATTTACTTCCTAAAAATTAAATAATTCATTGAAAAATAAATTAATTAATAATTTGATTGATTAGTAGAATTCCTAACTTATCCATATGATTAAGGAAATCAAATTTAATCATTTCCTTAACTATAATATATGAACATAAAAATTAATAATAAAGTAATACGTCATTTATAATAATTAATTAATTTATATTCAGGAAATAATTATCGATGATTACAATATACTTATAAATAATATTATTATAATATATTTAAGGATTTGAATTGAAAAATATTCATTCTCGATCAAGACTCATGACCATCATATTGATGATACAAGTAAAAGTCAACCGAACAAATCTACCATGTCTGTCATGATTATGAATGAAAAATATTTTTTTAATTTTTTTTATTTCAGAGAATATTTCTCTAAGTTGTGGTTGGGGAAGCTTTGATCGTAAAAGAAGCATGTCGAACACTTGGATTCATCGATTGGCATCATATGGACTTTGTTTATAATTCGTTTCCAACATCATCTCTTCTGTGTGATAGATAACCTTCGATCGAATTAGGACGAATAATCATCACGATGGAGATCAACGATGTTTGATAGATTATATTGAAATTATTTTATTACAATAATAAATAATTGATCGGATTAGCGGATCTGTTTCTTTTTTGGCGGTGGAGTTTTGCTTCTCTACAATTCCATTTGGTTGGATTAACTCTCGGTCTTACGAGTCGAGTTCAGATCCATAACCAGCGTTTTGAGCGGGAACTCTCCGCGTTGCGACTTTTGACTTTGTTTTCCCGCGCGCACGGCAGCATCCGAGACAAACGTTTCAACCAATAAGAATCAGCCACGTTTCCGGATTCCAAACCTTCCCTCTCGTGTGGACACTCTTTGCGTGATCAACGTCCCGATGACGCCCAGCTCATCGATCCGTGGTCACGACATATCAACCAATCACCGACTACCATCTCTCTCTTAAAAGGCCAATCCGACGCGATTTGCCTTCCCACACCCATTCGTCCATCAGTTTGCGATCGCCATGGCGCCCAAGGCCGAAAAGAAGCCGGCGGAGAAGAAGCCCGCGGAGAAGGCGACGGAGGAGAAGGGGAAGAAGGCGGAGAAGGCTCCCGCGGAGAAGAAGCCCAAGGCCGAGAAGCGCCTTCCCTCTAAGGATGGTGCCGTGGCCGCCGGCGACAAGAAGAAAAAGAAGAAGGCCAAGAAGGGAACCGAGACCTACAAGATCTACATCTTCAAGGTGCTAAAGCAGGTGCACCCGGACATCGGCATCTCCAGCAAGGCCATGTCCATCATGAACTCCTTCATCAACGACATCTTCGAGAAGCTCGCCGCCGAGGCCTCCCGCCTCGCCCGCTACAACAAGAAGCCCACCATCACCTCCCGCGAGGTGCAGACCTCCGTTCGCTTGGTCCTCCCTGGTGAGCTCGCCAAGCATGCTGTGTCGGAGGGGACCAAGGCGGTTACTAAGTTCACCAGTTCCTGAGTGATCTACGATGGGTGCTTGTTTGTTGTGATTTGGTTCACGTTGTAATGCAAGTAGGGTTTCTGGTGTAATTATATTGGATCTTAACTGGAAAGGAGGCTTCCTTTAGAACTAATTTTGGTCTGCAGTTGCTATTTATTTTTCGATTTTTCTTTAATTTTTTACTCCGTTTGCCGATCCTCTTATGATTTGCCAGCTTTATAATTTGGCGTTTTTGTGTATGAGATGCCATCATTATCTTGTGGTCTGTTGTGGGCGAGGGAATGTCTAGTTGCTTTTGGCTGTGTTGTGAAGTAGTTGAATTTTTAATATAATTAATACGAGTTGAACTAAAATCATAACACTACCAACTCATCTTGCCACTTTGGCCTAAAAAAGTCAGAAAAGTTAGTATTCCCAACCTAAAATCATAGCACTACCATGTCATTGAAGTCTAATGACATGGCATAGCATTCTCAAACTAGTCCTCTTGAAAACGTGTGAGAGAAAGCATTTTATTGAAGATCCATAAGAAATTATTTTAATAAATATCTCATAATTAATGTAAATTATAAATAGACTTTTCAATGATTGCATAATAAAGGGTTCAAAATGTTAAGATTGTGGTCGGCATTAAGAGCGGGGGTGAATTAGTGCAATGGATAAAAATGTTGATTTATGATAAAATTGAACTCGGAGATGCTTAACTTTAAAAGCAAAGTAAGAGAATATTGAAGGTAGTTTGTAGTTAATGTAAATTGTAGGAAGTAAATATAAATCAGAAAACACGTTAATTTTACAGTGGTTCGATCGTCATGACCTATATCCACTCCGTCGATTCCTCTTTCGTCGAGGCCATCGACATCCATTATCGGTCTTCCTTCAATAGGCGAAGACCAACCACCTTTTACACCTCTATTCTTCTTTTATCGGGTTTAGGAGACAACCCTTACAAGCACTCACTCCTCCTAAATAAAATTCTAAACTTGGACTATAGGAGGAGATTTTTCTAATGATTGCAATAGTGTTTTCTCACTTTTAAATACTCTATGCTTGTGTCTTTTAACCAGTGATGAGAGGGGTATTTATAGGCTTCAAATTGATTCAAACTTGTAGCCTAAAAACATCTTATCCCAGGTTTCCTGGGTTCGGGCGGTACCACCGCCAGTGTTAGTCTGACACTGACACCGCCCAGTCTAGCAATACCATCGCCTGACACTGGACGGTACCATTGCCCAGGCTAGTGGTACCACCGCCTGCAGCCTCTCGGAGGCTGTGTCTGGGTGGTACCACCGCCTGACACAGTCTCAGAGACTGTGCCATGACGGTGTCACCTTTTGGGGCACTATTTGGGCATTTTTAATGGCCCAACACATTTCTTATATGGGCCCAATTGGCCTATAATTGGGTTAACCCAATTCCAAACCTAATTACGTACTAACAATGAAATCTAAGATATACTTAAGCTAAACAAGTCTGTAAGACTTGGTTTCTTCCTGTGAGCTTCCGGCGAACTTCAGACGATCTCTCGGCAATGTTCCAATGGACTCCCGGCAAGCTCCTAGACTTCACGACGATCTTCTTGGCGAGTTCCGATGAGCTTCTCTAATAAGCTCCGAGACTTCTCGGTTGGTTTCGACAGAACTTCCGACAAACATCCGGAACTTCATTTTGCTTCATGGCTTGCTATCGTAGTTAATCCTGCACATGTAAAACACACTTCGATCTAGACAATTAATACTAAGCATTAATCATATTGTCCGGCATGTTATTGGTCTCTCGATGCTTCGTCCGATTCTTCGGCACATCGTCCTCTCTTACGGCCTATTGCCCAATCAACCAGTTGACTCCTCAACTCCGATATCCTTAGCGTAATATCCGCTCTTCTTAGCCCGATGCCCGAATCCATGGCCCGAAGCCTTCTGTCGATATGTCGACTGATCCTTCGGCCCGACGTCTAGTCTTCTGATATGTTTTCCTCCGGCCCAACATGATTCTTCCTACTTGTCTCATCCTGATTGAAGCATCCTATGTCACTTAAAACGTAGATCAAATCATAAATAATTATCAATTGCTTTCATCATCAAAATCTAAGATTCAACACAAAATGGTTCATTAGTGCCCACATGACACAACTTTTGTTTGCAAGTCTAGTACAATCACTAAAACCAAAGAAAATGGTGCTACTAAGCCTACTATTAGTCCTTTATATGCTATGCAAAACATAAATAAAATCGAAAGATACGAACATGCATAAACATTATATTGAATGCCCCATTTATAATTTTTTTTGTGATATTCTCCCTCATTTATTCCTTCGACATATTCGTCGAAGCCCTTGCTAACGCTGTAACTCGTTGCCTTTACTAAGTTTTTAATCTTCTGCTCTTGCTGTAATTCATCTCTTGGCTCCCAATTGCTCTTTGATGTTGTTGTTGAGTAGTCGAACTTTTAATCCACCATGCTGCTTCAACTCGCCAATGACTATAACTTTAGTGTGTTTGTTTGTTGTGATTTGGCTCACATTGTAATGCAAGTAGGGTTTCTGGTGTAATTATATTGGATCTTAACCGGAAAGGAGGCTTCCTTTAGAACTAATTTTGGCCTGTAGTTGCTATTTATTTTTCAATTTTCTTTAATTTTGTACTCCTTTTGCTATTTATTTTTTAATTTTTCTTTAATTTTTGACTCCTTTTACCGATCCTCTTATGATTTGCCAGCTTTATAATTTGGTGTTTTTGTGCATGAGATGCTATCATTATCTTGTGGTTTGTTGTGCATGAGGGAATATCTCACTTACTTTTGGATGTTATTGTTAAGTAGTTTGAGTTTTTATTTCATCGTATTGTTTTTACCGTGTTGTGTTGATCATTGTTAATTTTTATGGATTCTTTAGATGAAAAAAAAGATCATTTTTAATTAATTATTTAATTTTTAATAATATTAAATTTTTTTATTTATTTTATTGACTTTAAGTATCAGAGGGTTAGGTTGTGATATTTTTTTTAATGTTGATCACTTGTGTAGGTTCAATAAAGAGTGTACTTTAAAGCGACTCTAAGTGTTTCCAAACAAGCTTGTTACGGTGAATAAACTTGATATTAATGTTTGAGAGGAACCATTATGAGAAGCATGAAGTCACTATTAAGTAGTATCTATAGTTCGACACACTCAAACGGGGTAGGTCCATACAAACATGTCTCAAAACCCTTATTAAAATCTCGAAGCATGTCTTCTGAGGGGGATGAATGATAAGGAAAATCACAATACTACTAACTCATCTGGCAACTTTGGTTAAGGAAGCCACTTAAGAAAAGTTATGAGAAGACCTGTATATATGCATTGAAGCTTGACGACATGACATAGCATTCCCAACCTTACCCTCCTAACAAGCGGTGTAAGGGACCATCCCTTACTTGTCCCAAACTATCACACATTTAGATGATTTTGTTTAAGTTGTGTGACACCCTTCCATGTCCATCCGCAAAGGTCAATCTCCCTGAAATCTTCTATGATCCTTTAGGACTTATAAAAGAGAAAATATGTTAGAGAAAGTTTTTCACTTGAGATTCACAAACAATCATTTCAATAAACAATTCATAACCAATGCAAAGTACAAACAGACTTTACAGGCTCAGATCGATTGCACAACAAAGGGTCCAAAATGATCCACTACAGATCGATATCTGCATAAGTGCTCACATGACATAACCTTTGTTTGCAAGCCTAGGACAGCCATCAAAACCAAAGAAAAATAGGGCTACTAAGCCTACTGCCAGCCCTTTATATGCTGTGCAAGGCATAAACAAAATCAAAAGATATGAACATACATAAGCATTGCATCAAACACCCTGTTTATAATTTTGTTCGTGACATTCTCCCTCATTTATTCCTTCGATGTCTTCGTCGAAGCCCTTCATAACGCTACAACTCCTCGCCTTTACTGAGTCTTTAATCTTCTGCTCCAACTGCAATCCGCCTCTTGGCTCCCAATTGCTCTCCACTATTGTTGTTGAGTAGTCAAACTTTTAATCCGCCATGCTCTCCACTCTTGACTTTAGTGTGGTGTTGGCTGAGTTGTGTTGATCACTGTTGGTTCCTACAGATCATTCAGATGAAGGAAAAGACCATCCTTAGTATGCATCAGTCTCTCAAATGTCTCATACCGCTTGAATTGGGTGGATGCATGTTGGAGTTTTACGAGTATCGCCTCCCAAACTTTTAAAGGTTTTGGGCCCTTCCTCTATAAAATTTGCCAATCGACTCTTTTTTTTACTTAGTTGTCATTTCCAAGTAGGTTCGCATCACTTCCATTTTTGATTGACATTCTATCAGGAAATGAAGCGGATAATCTACTCAGTAGCACTGATCACCATTGATAAGGATTTGACAACTATTATCTTCCAGTTGGTTTCTTCGAAGGGTCTTTGAACATGTATAGAGCTCCTCTACCAGATATATAAGAGAATTGGGGTACTCGATTTTGCTCATTCTCTTAAGAGTTGAGAAGATAAATGTTACTTTTATTTCGCCCACCTCCTCGAGGCTTGTGCTCTATGCATCAAGCTGGTTATTAGCCTTCGCCCGTTCTTTGCTTACACTTTTGGAGCACTCGAAGTGTTTGCATTTATTGTGTTGAGTTAGCTACTGTGATTCACCTTCTCGATGCAATCAAACTTCTAGAATACAGAAAGTTTTTACCCCAACTTGGAGTAAGTCTCTAATAGTTTTGGTCACCTCTGGGATTGTACTATCTTCTCCATCAACCCAACCACCTACTCCGCTGAGTAGTAAGGGTACAACACCATGTACCGCCTACTTCGTTCCAGGTCATGTGCTCTTGCATCGACCCGAAGTCCTCCACTTTCGGTTATCTTGATGACACAAGTGGAGGACTTCGGGTCGATGACACAAGTCGTACAAAGTTTCCTAACCTTTGCCCTTTAGTCTTGTCTTGGTACTTGGAGTTTGTCTCCGTATTTTCCACCTCCTCGGCTCCTTTCACGACTAAGCGCTCTCCCTCTATAAGAGTAAGGGATTGATGACTTCACAGAAGTCTTGCCTCTATGGTACCATGGCACTGCCATGCCCATGGCTTTACTATCCATCACCTGGCATATGTACCCCTTTCTTCGCGATCAGTAGATCTGCCTCTATGGCACTATGAC